GCAGGACGGAAGGTAGAAGCTCCCGGCCGCCCCCCCATCGCTTCTTCAGCCGAACAAGCAGGGAGGGGCAGGGAGGGGGAACAGGACGGGAGGCAGCAGCTCCAGTGGCGGCGGCCCCATTGCGTCCTCAGCCAAACGGGCAGGGAGGGGGAGCAGGACGGGAGGCAGCGGCTCTGGCGGCAGCCACTGCAGCATCGTCAGGGTCCCCGTCGCTGCCCCTGGCCTGGCCGCCGCCCCCGCCGCTTCTCCTGCAGCGAGGGCAGCAGCGGCGGCTCCCTGAAAGTGCCCGAGGAAGGTGCCACCGATGGGGCCGAGGTGGGGCCAGGCGGCAGAGAGCCCTGCGGCAGCCAGGCGAGCTTCATGCCTGACTGCCGTCCGGCCCGGGCTAGGGAAACATGTGGCCAGTTCGGCTTCCTGGGGAGCGATGCTCCCGCTGGCCGCCGCACCAGCCATGACTGCCGCCCAGCACGGGGAGACATGTGGCTGGTTCGGCTGCCCAGGGAGCGGCCCAGGAAGCGATGCCCCAGCCGAGACTGGAACAAGTAAGCCGGGGGGCGGGCGAATCACCTGCCCCGCAGCCACTTCGCAGCGGTGCTCTGCGGACTCAGAGCTTCCTCCCTCCCCCCCTGCCACTGACCTTCCATCTCTGGCTCTGCTGCTGCTTGGCCAACGGTTGCGCCGGCTGGACATCGCAGGGGCTGCTCTCTCGGGGCTGCGGCTTACGGGAGGGCTGGCCCACTCAGCAAAGGCTCCGGGGGGTTGCTCCCAGCGGGGATCCCGGGGCTTCCCCGCATGGGTCCCCAGCCACGTGCGCCTGGGATGGGGCCAGCCCGGGAAAGGGACTTCCTGGCCGCCCTTCTCCCAGGGGGCGGGACACCCGGGCGCAGGGCCAATGAGGAGCCCTGCGAGGGGGCAAGTCCCATGAGAGAGAGAGAGAGACAGAAGTGCAAGTGCCTCTGTCTCTGTCTGTCTGTCTCTCTCTCTCTCTCTCTCATGGGACTTGCCGGGGGGCCGTGGGAGGGCCGCATTTACATACCGCAGGGAGGGCTGTTCGAGGGCTGGATTAAACCGGGCCGCGGGCCGCAAATGGCCCGCGGGCCGGACTTTGGACATGCCTGTTCTAGGGTTTTTTTAAAAAAATAATTTCTCAAGATGTTGGCACATAATGACTAAGATGTTGTTGCTCCTGGGTTGAGGTTCTTTTTCTGTTATTTGTTGTTTTCTGTTACATTATTTCTCCATCATTTGTCACTTCTGTGGATGTCCCTTTTCTCAAATAAATCTTGAAAGGCTTACATGGGAGGAATTCCCTTGTGTTGACTTCCTTTGAGATATAATTGAAGTTAAGAGATATGATTGTAAGGGATACGATTGTTCACTGACAAACAGAATCAGTGCATAAGCTCTTTTACCACTTTGTGATCAAGTTGTACAAAAAAGTTGCAAAAGATTATTGTAGCATGATAGAAAGAACGTGAACACATGGGCAAGTGATTTCACTGAAGTGGCTCAGATTCAAAAAGTGCTTCATTGATGCTTATTTTATAATGTGGTCCTGAGTACTAAACTTAAGGGAAGTTTAGATGTTTATGTCTCTCAATGGTTTCCTGAGCAGACTTCCTGTCAGTTGGCAGGCGCCTTGTTTTCAAACTTTGTTTAAAGGCTTCCTGAAAGCATCTAGATGGGCACTGGGTGAGACAGGATATTGGTCTTGAAGACAGGTCTTCCTTTAGACCCAGCAGGGTTCTTTTGAAACCCTTCAACTCTGTTGGACTTCTCTTTCCATGTAGCTAAGCAAAGTTGTGTATTCTAAAATAAAACATATTTGTCCCCATTAATTTTACCTCACCTACAGGAAGGGTGGAGAAAATAGAACAGCTAGCAAATACTATAGACAATATGTTACTAAAAGGAGTCCAACTTCTGCAGAATCAGAAGACTTGTTAAAACTTTTTAAGAACTAATGCTGTTATTGTTCCTAAATAAGGTTATTCCTGTTTTCAATGTGTAGGTCAAGGTGGGAGAAACTTGCTCTAATGTATATACTGTTTCATTTCTAGAGATTCTGAAGGCCTTACAATAATCCAGAAAGAGCAATATAAAAACAACAATCAAGTAGAACAATTAACAAGTAATCACAACCAATTGATACACTGCCTGGGAAGTGGGGATAGCAAGATAATTCATCCCTGTGAACACTCATGCATTCTCCTTGATCTGTATCTTTGCACGCCATCCCTGGTCTGCATTGCACCTCTCAAACACTCCCTCACAAACTTGCCATGCTTCTAATGCAGACATGTCAAACTTGTGACATCATGAATTGGGACGTTTTTGCCATTGCTGGCAATAGGGTGGGCGTGGCTTCTGGATGACTCATCCGGCCCGTGGGCCAGCAGTTTGACACCCCTGCTCAAATGCATCATTTGAGTTTTAGGCGCGGATTAACATTGAGACACCTTGGTTGTGCTTGTCGATGACCTTAGCCAGGAAGGCAAAAGGAATAGCAATAGCACTTAGACCAGTGTTTCTCAACCTTGACAATTTTAAGGCATGTGGAATTCTGGGAGTTGAAGTCCACATGCCTTAAAATTGTCAAGGTTGAGAAACAATGACTTAGACTTATAGTGCTTTACAGTCCTCTCTAAGTGGTTTACAGAGTCAAGGTTGAGAAACAATGACTTAGACTTCATAGTGCTTTACAGTCCTCTCTAAGTGGTTTACAGAGTCAGCCTATTGTCCCCAACAATTTAGGTTCTCATTTCACTGACCTTGGAAGGATGGAAGGCTGAGTCAATCTTGGGCTATTGAGAATCGAACCGCTGGCAGTTGGCAGAATTATCCTGCAGTATTGCATTCTAACCACTGCCCCACCATGGCTCTTCCCATGGCAGTAGTGCATCCATTTTTGTGCTGCTTGGTTTCTCAGTAACTTTTGGTACTGTTAACCATGGCATTTTTCTTAGCTAGCTCTTTGGATTGGCTTTATCATTTTATGGAAGTTCTCTTCTCTGGGGTTAGTTCCAGTTGTTATTTGTTATGGGGCAGAAAGATCACTTTCTAGGCCCCTCTTTTGTGAAGTTATGCAGGTTCTACTCTCTCCCTCCTGCTTTTCAACATCTACATGAAACTGTTGGGTGAGGTCATCTGGTGATGCCATCGGTTGGTTTGGAGTTCAGATTCCTCAAGAAGCTGATGATACTCAATTATATCTTTTGATCCTTGGTCAGCCAAGTGAGACTATTAATGTCCCAGTAACTGGAGGTTGGGTAGGTTGGAATGGGAATCATCTAGATTCAATCCTACTTCATTGTGCTTGCCATTTTTTATCTTTCATTAATTTGATTATAATTTGTTCAATTGTTGTTAGTCACCTAGAGTCATTTAGAATCAGGTGGCATATAAGTTTAATATATTTTTATTGCTGTTATTGTTGTAATTATTATTATTTCGTAATATGGTAAGTGTGTTCTACAGCTTACAGAAGGAAAAATAGTGAAAGTCTGATGTATGATAAATCCTCAGTTTAATGGACTTTAATTTAGAAGACTTCAGATACAACAGATATATTTCAGTGGGCTAATATCTTTTAAATAGAAGGTTTGTCCACTAAATTGAGGGTATGCTATTTACATCAATTAATGTAAGACCACAAATGATGTAAATTGACACAAATAATGTAAATTAAACATTAGTAGACTTATAGATTTAACAGATTCTTCACCCCCCTACACTTTATTGTCATGTTAAATCAATATTTTCCCATAATTTAGATTATTGCTTATTTCCAAGGAATATTTGTTAGAAGAGGACTTATTAGAATTATTAGAATATTTTTTATAAATAAGAGATTTATATGGCATTTCCACAGCAAAAGGTCCTTTGTTACTCTCTTTGTAATGGTAAGTAATGGTTTAATATTATGTGTAAATCCTAACCCCATTAGCAATAGTCTTAAATAGAGGATAACAGATAGTATAAGCTGATGAGCATGACATGTCTTCAGTGATGTTGCTTTGAAATAAATCTAGTCACTTTTTTCTTAAAACAGGTCCTTCTTCCACTATGGAAACCTTTGGTCAAGCCGAGAAGCTCCCTTTCTTGAATGATACCATTATCATACAGGGTATGTTTTTCTTAACCTTCAACTTTAATATTGGCTGATAAGAGAGATGTAGGCTAACCTATGTACTACTTAAGGTTATGACCATGTTTTCATAACCTTTATCTGGGTGAAACCATGCATCATAGGGCAACAATTTTTGAACCAAGGTACCTCAAATGGGATAACTTATAGAAGGTGTCCAAAATCTGGGATCTATGACCCTGAGGGAATGAAATTTGAAAGGTTGTGGGTATTTCAGTACTACTGGCTGCAGTTGCACTCCTGGGCTTCTGCTGCAGTCATGTGATCTTCATTTTCAATATTCTGTGACAATTCCCCAACCAGTCTCACAATCTCTCACACCCTCCTCCAACAACAACCCTCCCCCAACAACAGCAGCCACTTATCTGCAAGGAATGAAGGGAGAAATAGGGAGGAAGGAATCTCCCACACTTACTCCCTGACCCATGCCACCTTCCCCCCATGTACTCCCTCAACCTAGGCTAGCTCCTGCATGATTTCCCTGACTCTCACTGCCTCCCTATGTGTCTTATCTGACCTGTGCAGCACCTCTTCACCCTACTGACCTTTACTGCCTTCACTCTTGCCTTTCTCTGTGACATCTCTGGCCACGCCCACATGCTCTTCCCATCCCATACTTATGCCTCTCTCATATCCTTATGTACCATTCCTGACTTGCACCCTCTCACTTCTTCCTCCACCTCCATCATCCAGCAGCAGCCAATTACCTGCTGCTGGCTACATCATGGACTTTCTCCTTGCAAAGCAAAATAAATGTAGAAGTTGGCAGGAATTCAAGGGAGGGAGGGAAGTTTCTGATGCTCCCTGTCAGCTTTCCACAAGGAAACTCACAGGGGAAGCCAGTAGGGAGTCTGAAGTGATCCCACTCCACTGCTTTTTTGTGCATCCTTGGTCATTTTATTTCTCTGTCTACGTAAGGAAATATCTCTGAAATGATGACCCAAGGGGGCAGGAGATGTTTAGTTATTATAGTTTTGAATCAGCAGTAAAATTTGAGGTAATTTAATACTAGCACTTAGACTTATATACCATTTCACAGTGCTTTACAGCCCTCTCTAAGCAGTTTATAGACTCCGCATATTGCCCCCAACAATCTGGGTCCTCATTTTACCGACCTTGGAAGGATGGAAGGCTGAATTAACCTTGAGCTGGTGAGAATTGAACTGCTGGCAGTTGGCAGAATTAGCCTGCAATACTACATTTTAACCACTGTGCCACCATGCAGTGGTTAGAATACAGTAAGAATGTTTGATTCAATTTGTTTAACTAGCTGAAAGCTTGGGCAGAAATTGATGAGGAAAAAAAAACAGTTCCTATGCAAGGGTGAGCATTTCATTAAGTAGGTTGTTAGGTGCTTTTTTTTTACACAAGAGGTTGTAAAATCAGCATGCAACATTCCATTTCATGGTTGTAAGTTTAAATTTTGCATGGAATTTTGCACTGTATAATAATCAGTTGCAAATAACCAGGAACATTTCTGGAGTTCAAAGCACAAAAGAGTTTATCATTGCTACTAATACAAGAATCTAGTCAACTAATGATCAAAACTAACTTGGTGCTAGATAAGGGTCAACAGAATTCATGGGAAACCGGACTTAGGTCTCTTCTGGCAATGTAATAACTCTAAACCAATGACACATTTAACCCTGACTTCCAGCTCAGCTTGCTCTCCTCCAATTCTAGTGTGGCTACCAAAAAGTCTGAGGCAACCCGTTTATTTGATATTGAACTTCCAGATCAGATGACATCATGATTTTGAGTTTTCTTTATATTTGTTTCCATCTAGCGGTAATCTGGAATTCTGTACTCCTAATATGATAGTTGTATTCATTAGAATTTAAACTGCTTTGATTTTCTGAGTCACTTCATAATGGTCAATATTTTTTTGTTAACTTTGTTAAGTTTCCAGGTTTTTTTTTTTGCCAAAGCAGATTCAAAAAGAATTTCATTCTCCCGTTTCTCATGTTGAATATTTGCAAATGAATTTTACAGGCCAAAAGGATGAGCTATATGGACAATATCTGATTAATAGAAACTATTTTTCAATCTTCCCTGTAAAGAAAGCTCAAAAAGATTAGCAACAATGAAATTACAAAGGGTTACATTTTACAAATAACAAACTTGCAAAACTAGTAAAAAGTAAATGAATTGCCCCATCCTCAGATATTGCATCATAGGTCACATATTTTCATCAAAGGACTACAACTAAATAATCATGTAGCCAGATGGGTTATTTTGGGGGAGAATATTTTTTTAAAAACGTAACTTCTCTGAGCAAGTAGCCTGTTTCTTACATATTTTTCTGTTAGATTTCAGATAATGTACAAACCAACATCCTCCATGTTGTCCTGAACAACAGACATATAGATAGAGATAGAGATAGAGATAGTTATAGATATATAGAGATAAAGAGATATAGAGATAGATATATAGATATAGATGCCTATACATATATACATATACATATACTTATTTTCCAAACCTCCAAAAGGCAAGACAAGAAATGATGGAAACTAATCAAAGAGAGAAGCAACTTGAAATTAAGGAGAAACTTCCTAACAGTGAGAACAATTAACCAGTGGAACAGCTTGCCTTCAGAAGTTGTGGGTGCTTCATCACTGGAGGTTTTTAAGAAGAGACTGGACAGCTACTTGTCTCAAATTGTATAGGACCGTGGTGGTGAACCTATGGCACATGTGCCACAGGTGCCACGCAGAGCCCTCTCTGTGGGCACGTGCACCATCAGCCCAGTCCTAGACCTTCAGCTGGGTTTTATAAAATCTTTTCGCTTTAGGCCTCCACCGCCATGTGCAAAAAAAAAAAAAAGGTTCAATCAATTTCAACTTTTCGCAGGAAAAAAAAGATCTTGCAAAGTTGGAATTGATTGATTGAACTTTTTAGTCCCACCCAGTCTGCTGTTACCACTGCAGCCACACCCACCCAATGGGCCACACCCACCCGGCACCCAATGATACATAAGTGCTAAACCAGTGGTGGCGAACCTATAGCACGGGTGCCAGAGATGGCACTCGGAGCCCTCTCTGTGGGCACACATGCCGTTGCCTCAGCCTCGCCTCTCCCCATGACCCCCTCCTCTCCAGCAGCCCCCTTGAAGGAGAGTCACCCCTGAGCATGGCCCACACACAGCAGCGCAGCCAAGGACATGGCAGTCAGGCAGCATAGACAAGACTCTGCCCTCACACCCCATCGTGCACAGTTGAAGCTGCAGGGCATGGGCAGAGGGCATGACTGCCATAGCGCTGCTGGGCTGCCTGGGTGATCTGCGGCGGGCCATGGAGGTGGTGAGTGGCCCTGTGAGCAGGCGGGGTGGGGGTGGGGCAGGGGGCGGGACGGGGTGGAGCGGGGGCAGGGCCAGTTTTTGGGCACTCGGTCTCTAAAAGGTTTGCCATCACTGTGCTAGAGCAAGGAGTTGGACTAGAAGATTTCCAAGGTCCCTTCCAGTTCTTATTTGATTGAATTAGATACATATTCAAATGCATACGCATACACGTATGCATATACTGTACATATGCATATACAGATGATATAGATTAGATAAAGATGTTGATAAGGAATTTAGCAGGTTGGTGCATAGTATCTTGAATACAGATCATCTTGAATCTGACATTTCTTGCCTGGTGCTCAGAGTACTGTTTTCATTTACACTGGAAGTCATTTGGGGCCAACACTCTGACTGAGGCAGCTACTTTAGAACTTGAAAGACAGCGTTTTCAGATTTGAAATGATTCCTACTCAGCCTTTTGTTTTTCACGTTATTAGGATTTAGCAAAGCCCAAAATAGCAAAAGCAGATTAACCTCACATTGCACCAGTTAATCTTCAAGACTCTAAGTTACAGCTTCCCAGTAGATCTTTTGCAGATCAGAGCCATACTGACTGCTACTATTCTGTAGCTGATTTTATTGGTAAGTCCCACTTAGCCACTACATCAATGCAATCTTACAATGACTCTCTGAAATAGTTTTCTTAACATAATTGACTTCTCCTTTTTTGTCTCCTCCTTTCCTTTAAATGGCATATCCCCAGCTCTGCCTTCTTGGATTCCATTGTCAGAATTTAATCTTTCCCATTGTCTTCATAGACTCCACTACAGCCTTTTTGCCTTCCATGTCTTCTACTGCATCAGCTTCCCATTTCTGACTGCTCATGATTCACCACGATAATTTCCTAGCACTATTTTGACATATCGCACCAATATATGATCTGTTGATTCACATTGTAAGAGAATTCTCTCTCCCAAAAGTTGCCATCATTTTCTGTTCAATGATGGAAGGTGGGAAAGATATGGCTGTGGATAAAGTAGTGCTTTCCTGGTGATAGACATGTAGACATCTGATAGAAACCATAATGCGTGTCATTAGATTATCATAAAATTATGCAAATTATGTAATTTGATGTAATTTGAGCAATGAGTTCATGGTATGCATCATTTATCTCCTTTGCAGTCTGCTAGGGATTAATAGTTCTGTGCAGGGTGCATTCCAAGTAAAAAAGATCTGTGGCTGAACCAAAGTCCTGTTCATTTTAGTGCATTATCTGAACTAATAAAAGGGAATATTTGTAGCTCAGGGTTGAACTGTGGGGTCCTTGTTGCTCTCTGAGCTTGGTTATTTTCTTTCTCAAACGAAAGCAATAATTACAGGATTGTGATTTGAATTTCTGAAAGTAAGTACATCTTTAAAAATTAATTGGTGAACAATTAGATTCTTTCAGCTGTCATTCATTTTGGAAAACTAGATACACCTGATGTGGCATTTTAGCGTTCTCCTAAATTTGGGTATCAGGAGAGAAGAATTAGATTGGATTCATCTGGAACTGGTTCTCCTTGAAGTTGTGACAGGCTTCCAAATTCAAAGTCAATAGCAAATTCTGGTGCATCTGGATTCTGATGACAGTATAGTTTATGCCCACTGTTAAGCACAGGCTAAAAGATAGTATAATAACTCAATATCTACTGAGAGACCAAGGAATTAATCAGACAGCCATGGCAATTGTTTTACGAGTGAAATGTTAGATATACAATATTTTCCTGTCATTGTCTTACTAAGGCCTTTTTAGGAGCCATTCAACTTCTTTTAGAGCAGGGGTGTCAAATTGCTGGCCTGTGAGCCAGTTTCATCATACCCCATTGCCGGCAATGCAAAAAGAGTCACGATATGTTGCAACACGTCACATGACGAGGCGAGTTTGACACCCGTGTTCTAGAGTATCTGAAACAAAGTTTCAGTGTGGCATGTGGGACTGCAATATTTTAGAAAGCTAAAGCTTTTAATTGCCAAATTCATCTGAATGTGCTAATTGTTTTGAAAAGTTCTTCGAATAATACACTCATTTTTTTTTTGCAATTCTTTTGTTTTAATCAGGAAGTGTTATCTCTTAACTCTTCTCCATAGAATTTCCCAAAGTTTCTCAAACAAAAAGTATCACCTTAGAGAGTCCAGCTGAACTTGAACTAATGTGTAGTTTGGTCATCAGCAACACCACAAACGTGGAAAAAATGGAGACTGTTTGGAACTCAGGAAATGCAACTGTCAATTCGGAGACCATCAGGAGGAATGAAACTCACTCCAAATGGTGCACTCGATACACGTAAGTGGCTTTTATGTTACATGTGGATATAGTTTAAAGTAGAGAGGAACAATCTTTTAGTATAGAGGGTCACCCTCGGAGGGTCACCTGAAGTGGCTAAAAGACTGCCATGCAGAACCGCTTTAAAAATCCTTAATAAGGCCATACCTGGAATACTGCATTCAGCTTTGGTCACCACGTTATAAAAAAGATGTTGAGACTTTGAAAAAAGTGCAGAGAAGAGCAACTAAGATGATTAAAAGCCTGGAAACAAAAACATATGAAGAACAGTTGCAGGATTTGGGAATGGCTAGTCTAGAGAAAAGAACAACTAGTTTCCATCCATTGTTTCTCGTCCTGCCTTCTGGTGCTTTGGAAAATAAGTTGACCCCCTCTTCTTTGTGGCAGCCCCTCAAATATTGAAACACTGCTAGTCCTTCTTATGGTGGAATGATACAATAGTGGCAGTCCCTGGGTTCAATCAGAAGCCAGATTCACTTAACAACTACGTTACTTACTTAACAACTCTAGCGATTCCCTTAAGAACTAGGCAAGAAAAGTTGTAAAAGGGGGCAAAACTCTCTTAACAACCGTCTCTCTTAGGAACAGAAACTTTGGGCTCAATTGTGGTCTTAAGTTGAGGACTACCTGTATAGTACTGCAGGAGACTGTGCTTGGATTAGAGGATGACTGAGGTCCTTTCCATCTGTAGTTATCTGAACTATGATGATCTATTTGGACTAAATATTTCAGCCATCATAAATCTGTATTTGTTTCAACAAACTGCTTGCATGTCAGCATTTATCAATCCAGAACATTGCTGTTGTACTATTTTTCAATTACTGTTTTCATATTTATTTTCTTTGTTTTTACTTTTTACTTATTAAGTATCAATTGCTTAACTATTTTTAAGGATAAAAGTCAGAAACCAAGACCAGATGAGGAATTACACATGCATTTATAAAACTAAACCAGAAATAAATGCTACATTTGTTTTACAAGGTAAGATCCAAGAATTTACCCTTCCCAAAACCCACTGTTTATCAGCAAACCAGAGAATTGGCCCCCATGTTTTCTGCTCTGCCATATTAAAGTCCCAGAGGTACTTTTTCCAAAAGGCAACTGGAGTTTCTTATTTTTTTTTCCTTTGAAAACATTTTGCTTCTCATCCAAGAAGCTTGTTTAGTTTTTTTCTGAAGCTTCATGAGCTGAAGAGGCTTCTTGAATGAGAAGCAAAAAAATTTTCAAAGGAAAAAAAAAGAAAGTCCGGTTGCCTTTTGTAAAAAGCACCTTTTGGATACCCATGACCTGGATGATTGAGAATCGCCATAGATTGTCAAACAGGCAATCCTCAACTTACAACAATTCGTTTAGTGACTGTTCAAAGTTACAACAGCACCGAAAAAAATTGACTTATGACCATTTTTCACAATTATGACCTTTGCAGCATCCACATGACCATGTGATCAAAATTCAGATGCTTGGCAACTGGTTTATATATATGACCATTGCTGTGTCCCAGGGTCATGTGGTCACTTTTTGCGACCTTCTGACAAGCAGTCAATGGGGAAGCCAGATTCACTTAACAACCGGGTTACTAACTTATCAACTACAGTGATTCACTTAACAACTGAGGCAAGAAAGGAAGTAAAATGGGGCAAAAATCACTTAACAAATGTCTCACTTACCAATAGAAAATTGTGGTCATAAGTCAAGGACTATCTGTATTAATATTATAAGCTCTCCACCATCCCAATTGAAAAATCCATGAAAACCTGGAAAAAACTGGACCAACCGCAGTAGTCCTCAGTGCTACCAACATGCACTTTTTTTTTAAAAAAAAACCCAAGGCTAACGAAATGTTGCTTGTAATGAATATGAAGCAATTGGAAATCAAACTCAAAAAATATGTTTTTCTCATTAACGTGAAGGAGTAACTTTGCTGTACACCATCAAAATACTAAGTTCTTTTAAGACATAACTTAAAAACATATCAAGACTGGTTCCTTTAAATCTAATTTCTTTTCGTTCTTCATTTTAAGGTTATTCCTCCCTCTCTTCAGTCTGCGTGGAATGTCGCAGCAGTTTTTACTGTTGCTGTTCTTTTTATCGATAATACAATATCATCTGATGTAAAATGATATTTTACTGAAGACGTAACTTGATGAATTATTGAGATGACTAAATATAGAACAGTGATGCAGATTAATGGACTCTATCCATTAAACATTAATGATTCCTTGCCTTTTATATACAGCCACTGATTTTTAAAACTGAGCAAATGCATTTTGAAGAATCACTGCTGGGGCTGTAAATATATTCACTTTCAATGCTATTGAAATTATTCTACTTGTCTCTTTGCAAAATGATGTTTTATAGGATTAGAATTCGGACACTGTACAGTTTAAATGTGAATCTAAGCCCTAATCAAGCATCAGACACCCAAAAGAATTTAGCTTCACTGTTCTTTTAGTTGGGTCAGTTCTTGAAGTCTGATATTATAACCTCAAGGGAATTTCTGATATGGGTAGTTTCCTGCAAAGCCCTATTCATTTGCAGAAATAGCTATGCATTTCCAGACCTATTTGCAATATTCTGATAGGAAAAGCTCTATCATTTTGATAAGAAAATTGCTTTTTCATGATAGCATGGACATTTGGAAATAAAAAATTGAGTATGGAAGGATTAAAGATCAACACTGTTCATCAAGGATGTTTAAAATTGTCTGTCTGTATACTAATCCATATACTGTAGTTTCGGCAGTAGAACTGCTGCAAAAGTGCTAAATCAAGAACAATGTAATGGGTTGTTGTGTATCTATCATCCTCACATAATCATAACTATGTGTTTCATAGGCATTCGTTTCATTGCTTAGTGTGAATCATAAAACAATGTATGCTAAGAAGGAAAATTTCATTAGGATAAAAAAAAATCATAGCCAGCAATATTATATTCTGCAGCCAAACGTTAATCAGACTGGAAAGTGGTAATGATCAGATACATTTTATTTTATGCTGTATTTGTTCAGCTCTAATCTATCAGTGAGACATGAGCAATATATTTCACACTGCTATATGTTGTGGCTGGGTAATGGTGTGAGCAGAATAAATTTGCTCGAACCAGGATGTTCTAAATAGCTCCTCATACTTGGCTCTGGCAAGCTCAAGTTTTTGTTTTCTCTTGGTCAGGAATTTTAACAGTTAGTTTGCAAAAACTGCTTTTTGGTTTTGATGGCTTGTTGTTTTTTGAATGAGAAAAATAGCAGAAACTAGGTTTCCACAGTTATTGGCTGCTGGTACAAAAAGCCTGGGTCATGTTAAATTAGATTATCTGCATAACAGGGAAAATATTCAGGCCACTGTAGGAGAACCCCATTTAACTAGGAATAAAACATAACTTGGCATGGTCCTTTTTTTTTTTTTTTACATATAATGGCAAATTTCTACCTTAGTACAAAATGATATATGAGGTTTCGCATAAACCTCATCTTCAATTGTTCTGTGTCCCACAGGTTTGCACAGAAGCAATTATTAACCACTAACAATAGTTAACAATTAATAATCATGTTAATTTTGAGTAAGTTAGTTCCATAGGATTTAATTCCCAGGAATCTTTAGGACCATAACTATTTCCAGATTAACCAGGGACATTATTTCCATATAAATAGTCAAGTCTGGAAGACAAAATCTACCTTGAGTCTACTGCCAGTAGCTAGAAGAACCCTTCTAACCTTCACCCTTAAAACTGTACTTTATGATCTAGAACAGAATGGATTACTTTCGTGTATCCATGGCCTGTTTGCTAATCTCTGGTTCCATTCTAACTTGTACTGAATCAGAGATGACTAAGCAGAGTTGGAAGGAGAGAGGAGTGGGCGAAATCTTGATAGCTCAGTCACTCAGAAGAAAGAGAAAGAGGCAGAAATGGTTCCCTGATGAAATAGCCATATTTTAAACGCCTTCCTAAAAACCATCCTGCTCCACAGAATGAGGGAAGGGAGAGAGAAGGGTTGATCCCTGAAAGCAACAGTCCCTAAAATAGAAACTATGTCTTGTCCATTGTTTTCATTAATTGATTTTCAGCCTGGAATCTACCCTCTTCTATTGTATCATTTTAAATTGGAAATAGATTTAATTATACTTTATTAGAATTGCCTGCAGGAACTCAGGCAAGTGAAATTGCCCAAAGAGCCTTAGGCACCTATTTCAGTCAAGTATCCTGTCCCTTCAGAGATGCTCTAGATCAGGGGGTCTTCAGACTTGGCCCTTTTATGACTTGTGGACTTCAATTCCCAGAATTCCTCAGCCAGGCACGCTCCCTCTGCCTAATCTGGACCCTTTGATTTTCTTAAGTGAAAATCTCTGGAATTTGTTCCATTCTATTATGCATTTCTCTTGAATATGCATTTTTCATAATTCATTCAAGTTACAGTGAAAAAGAATTGTTTTAACTTTTAATAATGATATTAAAATGCTGCTAATAATGTATATATCAGCCCAAGTAGAAGTGATTTTCCTCTCAGATGCAAACATTAGAAATTATAGCTTTGACTGTAAACATAATGGAGAAATGATTAAGAGAACAGCCTTGCTAATGATGTACTCAAAATTTCATGTTTTAAAGTTGAAAATGGTACAGAGCTGCCAATGATTGAAAAGGCCAGGCAATCTGTTCAATGGAATTCAAATAAAGGAGAGAGTAGAAATCAACGTATAGAGAAAAATTGAAGTGTCCCCCCCTTTCCAGTATATGTGTGTGTGTGTGTGCGTGCGCGTGCGCGTGTGCATGTGATATTTTTCACAAAGAAAAATGTATTTATTGGAACAGCCATGTGATCATGATAGATAGGTCTTCCTTTTGGTTGACTTCCATTTTTTAGGTCTAAATGATATGAGTTGATGAGTTCATTTGTATCAATTAGTTTTCTTGTCTTCTTCCCTTTCTTCTCTTTTTCTGGGCAGCTAGTAACCAAAGAATACATACAGAGATTAATTCTAGAAGGTCTAGAAAATTAGAATAAAAGGATAAAAACTAAAAAGAAAGATATTGTGTAAATGTATATGTAAATATACATTTCACATCACAAAAAACCATCACTTTGCTTGGCCCTATGCTGTACAGTAGGGTTTCCCAACCTGGCCATCTTTAAGATACGCGGATGTCAACTCTCAGAATCCGCTAGCCAGTCATGTACAGTAATAGAAGCATATGCATGTGTCTATGGAACCACAAAACATTCACAGAGCCTCATCTTTGAGCCATATCATATAAGATAACCTTTATTGACACTTTTTTTTCTGTGAACACACTGGCACACATTAAAAAATGTAATTCTGATGCCCGTTCTCAAATGTGTGTGTGTGTGTGTATTAAACAGTCCATTTTGAATACTTAGCAGAAAAAAGAGTCTTGAGAGACAACAAGGTTGATTCTGTATGATATAAAGCTATTACAGAATATAGTTGTTCTGCTTCAGGAACCATGAAGTCTTCTCCCAGAGGGTAACAAAGAGGATGTGTGGCGTCCCTGGCAATACTGAGGACCCTGGTCATGCATCACTTATATGGATAGAAGGAAGTGAACTTTCAATAATCTTTCCTGCCATCCTCACTACCTTCTGCACAGCCTTCCTGTCTGAAACAGTAATGCTTCCAAACCACACAGTAATATGATACAACAGGATCCTTTCAATTGTCCCTATGTAGAAAGAGGTAAGGATAAGGGAAGAAAGATGTGCTCTTCTCATACGACATCACAATTCTTTTTTGTTTTTCCTTAGTGCCTCAAGTCCATGTAAAGTCTGAGCGTATAATCAGTTATGTGGGTGACACCGTGGTCTTGACTTGTGATATTGGAAATGGGAAAACCCACATTAACCCACATTTTTGGACCTGGTATTCAAATAATGGAAGTGGAGAGGTAAAGTTCTGTTTCCTTTATAGGAGGAATCCAACCCCCATTATTTCAAGATATTTTTCAAGACATGCTTTGGTAATATAGCCATTTTGCCCAAGCCTAAGTCATTTTTGCCCAAGCTAGACTGTGAATCAAATGTTCATAGATTTTGTTGTTGTTTTTTAATTTCCCTTTCACATCTCTATTTCACTGTTATAATTTTCTTCCTAGAATCTTCATTTATATATTTAAATATCTGTATATTAGAATTTCTAGTGATGTATGACTTTATGATGAAGATTCTTTACTCTTTTTTTCTCCTGTCAGGTTGTTATTAATTCTACCCTGATGCCAAAGAAGTACAGCTTTATCCAGACACTTAAGAACATTACCAAACTGAAGATCTTTGATCTTTCTGAATTAGATAGCAGTTCTTACTGGTGCAAAGCTGGATTTCTACTAGGTGAAAGCAAAGGAAAAGTATCTCTCAAAGTCCTGACCTATCTGACACCTCTCAAACCATTTCTTGTGATAGCTGCTGAAGTTATCGTTTTAGTAGCACTTATTTTTCTCTATGAAGTGTTCTCCAAAAAGAAAGAAGTGAATACTGGTAAGATATGAAGGAATAACATATTCAAATATGTTTCTTTTATTTGGTATTTTGTGTGTGATAAGAACAGAGGATGACATGAATGGTAAACTTATGCTTATGACTGGAGCTTCTTGGGGATCTCAGGGGCTATGTGTTATGTCATCACACAAATTATGCAGATAAAATAATTTGCAGGGGTATAATTTGTGTCATGATGTATGATGACATGTGGAACATCAATATGGCTTCTACCAGAGGTCTGAGCTGAAATATTCCCATAACGTCTAGAATTCCTGAGCCAGGATACATACGTAAGAGGAATTGTAGGAACTTAAGTCCAACAGAATGGAGCATGCAAAGTTAGGAAAGATTGCAGTAAACCATAACATTAGGCAACTTTTTCTTGGTGGATGACTGCATTTTACCTTCATGTAATGGGGTCCAGGGCTACATTTAAAAAGTGAACAGAGTTCTTGCGAGCAAGAGTGGCACACACAACAAAATGTGATTACACCATGACACAAATGGCATGATTTAGGTACATACACCATACATCAAAACATCAATGTAAAAGGGTGTCGTCTGTATGCATATTATCATTTTGGCATCATCGCACGATGTAGATGTTGCTGACGGGGTTGCTTCCAGTGGGAAGAAGCTGGCTCAATAGTGTACGCAGGACAAAATGATTTTTCCATAAAAAGTTTTTTCAATTTTGAGCCAACAAGCAAATGATTCATTTTGTCCATCTGTGAAATTCTAGCATATGTCGCTAGTGAATTGTGTTGCTGAATTTGCTGGGATTTTTCAGCAATTATTGCAGGAAAAACATCAGACAGTACATGATGCCCATAAGTCCTTGACTGCCACCCCTGCTTTATTATAACTAACTAAGAGTAGCTTTACCAGAGGATTTTCTTCTTCTTTTGAAAGCCATTCATAGTCAGGGCACAAGTAACTGGACATATCTGCCTCTCAAAACATCTCTAAGGAAATGGTGCTTATTTCAAAATATCTGGGTTTAGTGTTATTCAGTAGAAAACTAGATGATGAGTGGAATCATGAAGATGCTATATTTTGGAACAAGATAAAGGTTTTGTATGTGCTTAAATATTTCATGTTTTAGAATTGAACTGGGCAAGGAGGTTGAGTTGCATTTTCATTTTGGGTTTTGTTGCATATCAGAAAGGGATGTGGTAGACTTGGAGAGAAATGTTGCAAATCCTAAAATAATATCTGTGGCCACTGAAAGGGAAAACTCATGCCCTAAAGTTGGTCTCTACTTATAGTGCAGAAGAACACTTTATTCTTCATTCCTACTTTGCGTCACTCATGTTCATTGACATCACCTGGAGAGATTCACCTTCAGGCGCCTTCTTTTATAGTTGTCCCTGATGGTTGAAATACACTCCTATGGATATGGGTGAGGGGATAGGCAGTAATCCCATGTGTATCATGACATCATCCTGCATAAGAACTGCATATTTTATGCCATTTGTGAGATGATGTCATGACATGTATGATGTCCTTGTAGCTTAGACCAATAGCCTACTTATCACAATGGAAGAATTGATTTTTTTCCAAAATATATTCAATACCTATCCCCTTTTTATAAGAGTTATCACTTATCAAGGGTTTTAATTTATTACTTTAATTTTATTACTTCTCCAATTCTTATTTTATGTTTTATTATGTTATTACATCTTTATTATATAAAGCTGAGAGATTTCAATGGTTGGCAATATTAAAAAAATTAACAATATTTAAGTCAATACACAGTAAAATCACCTAGTCAAACTATAGAGAGGAAAGGTATTAATATTAAACTAATGTGGTTGTTAACTATACTGGCAATTTTTGGAAATTTGCCCTTTTCAGTCAATATCTTTTGTTATCTTGAGACATGATTCGTTTTGTAGAAAGATTTTGTAAGCAGACATTTTAATCCATTATATTAACTGTACAACTGACTATAAAATCCCTTAAATTCATAAATAAATAAAAGGAATAAAATTATGCATAGTTTCGTCTAGTGGTTAAGGCATCAGGTTAGAAACTGGGAGATTGTGAGTTCTAGTTCCACCTTAGACTTGAAAATCGACTGTGTGTCTTGGGCCAGTTATTCTCTCTCAATCCTAAGAAAAAGGCAATGGCAAACTACTTCCAAAAAATGAAAACATTTAGTCCAAACAGTCACCAGGGGTCAAGACTGACTCAAAGGCTTGGGTCAGGCTTGAAATATTAAATAAGTAAGTATACCAACAGAAAGTACAAATCACATTGATTTCTTTCTCTTTACAGAAGTTGAAAAAGAATTTGAACAAGAAGAAACATTGTAAGTAATAATATTCTTGTTGTAAAGTTAAAGCAATAAGTTGAAACAATAACAGGTGACAATCAACACCATTACAATTCAATTTTAATGGGGGTTGGACTTCAAGTATTAATTCTGTGTCATTTGTGTAGTAGTGGAGTGGGAGGAGAGTTGGCAGGAAACCCACTGAGCCTCAAACATATGCCAAGTCTTATTAAATGTAAAAATACCATGTTGTTTATTTGTCTGCTAATGAAAGTGAGTACAAACAGTTACGTTTGAACATTACTAACTCTACTTGCCAAATAGGGAAAAAAATATCTACTGCAAGCTTGTTCTAATTTAATCTAAGCTTGATCTTTTTTCACATTTAAGAGGCATTCACTTGAAATGTTATTCTGCTTAAAAATAGTAATAGTAGTGTCAGACTGTTTCTCCCTATCATCCAAAAAAGAAGATTTTTTTTTGACAAAGCAAAATACAGTAGACAAAATACAGTTTGCTTCCTGCTGCAAACTCATATTTGCATATACACATTTGCAAGAGACCAGAGACTTACTTAGAGCAAAACTGTTACAGGAAATGGTGGCTTTTCTTCTAGTCCTCTTGTCTAGTCCTCTATGCTCTAGGGTTATTCCCATGTTCAACCACTCACTCAGGCAACCTTCTAAATACAAAGCCTAATAATTCTTAGAGTTTAATTTCCTGTGATTGTGAACTAGTTAGTTGCTAGGATGAACAACCCAGTGAATCAACTGTTTTCCCAGAAAAATTTAATCCTACAAGCCTGCACGCACACAAAAACCATCCTTTTAAAAATCACCAAACTAGTTGTCATTTTGAAACCATCCTAGCATATAAATAACAAACAACGTTCTAATTCTGACTTCTGACTTAGAGATTCTTCTGCAAAGTTCTGACTCTGACAACTATCAGAGTCTCAAGAGTATTGAATGTGCAGAGTTCCTAGGTTTCATTCATTGTCAAGCATGTTTCTAGGGCAGCAAGCCTGTATCTTCAGTTCTCAGTCCCATGTTGTCTCTGAAGAGAAAATTCATGCCATATTTTGAAGCCCTTCCTGGGTTCTCTTTTTTCTGGCAAAGTGACAGACCAAAGATAACATGGAACCAGAGAAACCAGAAAAAAATTAAATGCAAATCTAATGCTTACATCAGACGATCATTTTATAAAAGTAGAATACAGATGCACCACATTAAGTTTATAATTTGTTCTAACTTATCCTATAAGGTCTAAATTTTAAATTATTATGATTTGGACAATCTATGTTGGAGATCTTGTGACTCTCACTTCAAAAACCAGTCCTTTATATACTTTTTATATTGAGGTCCAGGGTTTTGGTCCACATCTGTGGGAACAGACTTCCTGATTTGATTCTTATCTACAAGATCCAACTAGGCTATAACCAGCCTACTTTTACAGTCCATCTTTTGACTTTGGTAGAGATCTTGTGTAAGCTTATTAGAGGCATTCAATCCATCCAATCTAGGAATTTGAATACAACTTTCCTTTCCAGATGTTGTTTACATCTTGACCTTCAACAACCTATTTAACCAAATATAGTGTACTTCTGTCAGTCCCATATCTTGATCCTCAACTTGGTAGCTGATGTTAAGAAAATTTCTAATTCAGCCATCATCGGCTTTATTTTAAATCAATGCATTAAAGAGAAATATGCCACAAACAACCAAATTAGAATAGAACACGCATACATCAAAAAAGTATTCTGGGAAATCCCACTAGATCTTGTCAATGCCTCACATGCATTGTTATGTAACCACATGGGACTAGTTGTGTCTAGCTTGTTCAGAACATTGAAGAAGCTCTCATTTTGTGTTTCCCCCTAGGCTGAAAAAGATCACCTACAGCTTGAAGCTTAGAATTTTGCTCCCTCACTTGCACTTTTATAGAAGGGGATGTGAAGGCTGCCTTATTCGTTTACAGATATGTACAGATATGGTCTCAATTATATAGTGTATTTCTAGAAGATATGAAGCCTCCTCACGGATGGCTGGCCTCTACTTTTTAAACCACATCTCATGTCTCTGTTCTGCGCTATTGCTGGAAAAGTTTAGCCAAGCAAGAGTTAACAATTGAAAAACCCATGTAAGGATGAAAGTCCATATTGAACTTAAAAAAAATCCATGGTGGAAAAAACCTGAACCCACCCTTTTTAATTCTGTACAGGAAATCAGAAGACAGCAATGGTGTGGAGACTAGTAGTACCCGACACAGAAAAGTCTAAACGGAAAAGTGGTAAGTTAGAAGGTAAATCTGAGAGATCCTGTACCTATTAGTGGCTGGGTTGTCGAAATGAAGAGTTCCAGCTCATTTCGGGACTGTCCGATTTGAAAAGGCTGAACAAACATTAAAGAGATATTCTGGTACTTGTTTATTTTATTCAATTTATTTGCACCCATCTCACACAGGCAGCTTTGGGTGCCAGACATAGATCATCATCAAAAATATTGATGTAAGAATACAAGCTGAAAATTAAAAATGAGAATGGACTGGAATAAAATGAAAAAATGGTGCACCTAATCGGCCAGATTTTAAGGACTCTCCAAAAGATTAGTAGAGATAGGGCCAAATTAATATTGGAGGTGGAGGGAATGGTGTTCCAGGGAGCAGGCACAGTGATAGAAAAGGCAAACTTCCATTGTCCCTCTAGATCAGAGGTCCCCAACCTTTTGGGCACCAGGGACAAGTTCCATGGAGAAAGGTTTTTCTATGGATCGGAGAGCGCGTGTTTTTGTGTTCTGTCTGTATCCCACAGATGGGACTTTGCTTGTTTCTGCGGAGCAGTTGCTGGCATGCTGCGGACTGGTACCGGTCCATGGACCGAGGGTTGGGGACCCCTGCGCTAGATGACACTCTTTAGTTCTGTAGGCGGGAATCAGAGAATGCTGTTTTGCCAGATTGAAAGGTCAGGTAGAGACAATGAGTGAAATAACCTAGCTTCGTGCCCCAAGATAGTATTTTCTTGTTATAGAACAGGGGTAGTCAACCTTGGCTCTTTTATGACTCATGGACTTCAACTCCCAGAGTAATAGGCAGTATAGTATTTTATCAGTTGCCCCACGGATGCTCATTGTATTGAATTACAAATGACTTCCCTTGAAAAAGGGAAGACAGTGGGGTAAGAAGAAAAAAAAGGAGTTTTTCCATATACAAATAGTCCTCGATTTATGACCACAATTGAACCCAAAATTTCTGTCACTAAGTGAGACATTTATTAAGCGAGTTTTCCCCTATTTTACAACCTTTCTTGCCACAGTTGTTAAGTGAATCACTGCAGTCGTTAAATTAGTAACATGGTTGTTAAGTGACTCTGGATTCCCCATTGATTGCTTGTCAGAAGGTCGTAAAAGGTGATCACATGACCCCAGGACACTGCAACCATCATAAATATGAGTCAGTTGCCAAGCGTCTAAATTTTGATCACATGATCATGGGGATGCTGTAATGGTTGTAAGTGTGATGTTTTTTTCCCCAGTGATGTTGTAACTTTGAACCGTCACTAAATGAACTGTATGCAACAGGAAAAACTGGGGCAGAGACATGCATGGAGAGAAGAAGCCTCCTACTGATTCTCTTTTTGAATATATGAAAAACTCCCTTTTTATCTTCTTACCCCACTTCTTATCCTCCCCTCCCCCCCACACACACCACCAGCAGCTGTATTCATGCTGGAGAAAAAGTGTGGTAGGAATTAGTCAGAAACATCTGAACAGCATCAGATTTGGAGATGGCTGTCTGTCCAAAGCGCAGGTTATATAGAAGAAAGAAACATTTTGCCATGTCAGTTGGAATGTTGATTGGGAGCCGTTAAAAGGAATTATCACCAAGTGAAGGACTTTTGATTAGTTTATGAAAGGCGTATCAAATACTGCTTTAATGTGCAGCTGTGCGTGAGTGTTGCCAAGGCAAGCAAAGAGGGGAAATGACATCACAGCTGTCCTGATGCCACTGTGGTTTCTATCAGACAACTGTGCAGGTGAGCAAGTGTTCTGTTTTTCGTAGCTCTGCATACATTAAAAAAAATGCTAGTGGCTGCTGAAATGGTAAGTTGGGACTTGACTTAGAGTTTGAACAACTATCAGCTTTAACCAACACCTGAAAGGAATACTACTTTGAATCAGATGGTATTACTGCACTTCTTTAATCTATCTGTTCTTTTTAATTTAGGCAAAATGAAAAGAAATGCCAAGACTGCACTGGATAAAAAAAAATTCTGAAACAGTGGAACTGTATCTACTTGGTTTCCAATTATGGACTTCTAGGTGTCTTAAAAAATACTGCCTTTTTAAAGTAATGAATGTATTAAATAATGCTAATGTCATACAGGTTGTCCTAAAAGTTTTAGCTAAACTTATGCTATAGACTATACTCTTTTATATCTGTTCAAGCCTTTGGCTGCAATTAACCATAGCCTAATATTAACTTTCATTCATTTATCTGAATATGTATAGAGTGCATTTTTATATATGGTGATCAGCACCTACTTGGAAGTACATGTAGTCCTCAATTTATAACAGTTGATTTAGTGACTGTTTGAAGTTACAATGTCACTTTAAAAAAGGCTTATGACTGCTGCAGCATCCCTATAGTCAGGTGATGAAAATTCAGACGCTTGGCAATTGACTCATGTTTATGACGGTTGCAATGTCCCAGAGTCATGTGATCACCCTTTGTGACCTCCTGACAAAGCAAAGTCAAGGGGGAAACCAGATTCACTTAACAACCATGTTACTAACTTATCAGCTGCAGTGATTCACTTAACAACTGTGGCAAGAAAATTATGAAATGCGGCAAAACTCACTTAATAAATGTCTCACTTAGCAACAGAAATTTTGGGCTCAATTGTGGTCATAGGTTGAGGACTACCTGTATTCTATTGATTTCTCTGTGCTAGTAATGTTATATCAGAATAAGCCATACAAGCCAAGTTTTACAAACAACAGTAAATTACAAAGGACTTAACATTTATATTGAGAATTAATATATATCTCTAACCTAGAACCAGTTTAAGTGGCAAACATCTTTAGCCTCCAATATTTTATGTCAACCAAGGGTCACCCGTAGAATCTCAAAGCATTTTCTCTTTTCCTTTTGTAAAGAAAGACGTTATTGGTTTTCTTGGAAGAGGTTATGTAACTGGTAGGATTGTGTAAGGAATATGATAACTAAGTAGAAAACAAATACCAAATAGTGATAATTAAAGCTTGGATTTGGTTAGACTACTTGTCCAGAAGTACCATTAGTGGACAATAGCAATAAGCCAATGATATGCCTTGTTAATGTCATGGTTTATCAGTAGCTTTACCAAAGAATTGAGAAAACACACAAATATTCCTTTAAAATAGCTAATAAAGCCATAACATTTCTAATGTGTTGTAATTGTCTTTCTGGTTCCCTGTGTTCCCTTCACCCTTTCCATTGTTTTTACAATAAATTCCACCAAATAAGAGAGATGGCTGTCAAATGTTTGACATGATTAAGCTTTCATGAAGTATTAGCACGAACAAATTATAACCATACATTTGAAAGAGTGATTATACCTTTTCAGGCATATCCTAGGAAAATATCCATATCCTAGGAAAATCTGCACAAGGCAAGAAGGGATTTTAAAAAGGCATAATGGCTATCAAAGCATGTGATCAAAGCCTTATCTCCTTTTACATGCATTGTTTTAATTGTGCTCTGGCATCACAACTTTCTAAACTTTGAAAATGAGGTCAAATGAAAGCATCAAAGTACACCAATATGAGCCAAATAAAAACAATACTTTATTTTACCAATAGAATAGACTAATGAGATGTTGATTACATTATAGGCAAAAAAATTAATGCCACTGTTTGTTTTTTTAATAAAATTAAGTGAAATTGGTTTTAAAAAAATTATGTTAATGAGCATCATTTTAAAATTTAAAGTGCAATAAACAGGATAGGTGATAGTGCCCAAGTTATTATCCCACCTTGTAGAGAATCACAAAGATGAATCGATTTATACAATTTATTAGTCAATATAATGGTTACTCCCCATCTCAAATTAAGGAACAGTGAAAAGTGCAATTTTTTTTTTAATAAAACGGCTTCTCTAAACCAGAACATGTGTATTGGATATTTCATTTATGCATGGCCCATCATTTTGCAATGGATAGACAAATGGCATTGTGTAAATATCCTTTAAAAAGCAATTGTGAGATTATTATTTCTAAATCCAATCTGCCCTTCATCTGTAATTTGATAGTGGCTATAGATTTTGATGATTATTCAATTTATCTAAATGAATTATTGTATATAGTTTGGGCAAAATACAAGTAGAAAAATAAGCATTGGTGACTACACACATGTACATACATACACACATTTTTTGGCATTTGCAGTATTTTACAAACCACTGGTAATTGTTTTCCTTAAAAATGTATGTCGTTGTTGTTTGGAAGTGAGGAAGACATTACTGGAATTTTCAAATGGTTCTGATTAGCAATTCCACTCACTAGGGTGGGGTAGGGAGATATGCACTCATGGTCCCACGCAATTCTGAATCTAGTCTGCCTATTTTGGATTAAATTACATGACCAAATCTGGATTAGAAATGTGAGTTTATATTGTATCATCCTGTCTTGATGCAACCAGATGACCTACAAATCCTTTTTGTAATTTTTTTTAGATCTGTAGCTTTGGTCTTTCTTGGTTGTTTTTACATATTGTAGCTAAACAATAGGCAGGGCAAATTATACAGTATAAGGCCAGTGTTCTTCTGAAATACAAGAGCAATTAAACTGTAAAATAGATCAGAATCACATAAGAACCTTTTTATATATGAGAAAACTTACTCCCCTTGGACTTTCTTCTGGAATGGTAAGGTTGCCTGACTCTCCTATGGAAAAAAGAAAGATGGCAATAAATTCAATGAATAAACCACAGTGGGAAACCAATGGTGTATGGGTTTTCAAAATAATGAGAGCTTTCAAACATTGTTTCCTAAATAAACAATAAAATAAGCTTTTCAGACATTCTTCCAGATGCCATTTTAAGACAGTTGTCTTTATCATGAAGCCAGTTTCTGGCACTGTTAGAGTTCCCACTCTAGGGAAGGAAACTCCTAAGATCTAGAGATTCCTTTGAAAGATGATAATAAGGAAATAGCACTGCCAGGAACCATGATTATCCCAGGAGCATCAAAAAACATGCAGATGGAAAACAGTTGAGATAATTAGGACAAACTCATCAAACCTTCCACC